ACTATAACAATACCAATTGTCTTCGTACTCAATCAAACTTTATATTCTTACCTGCATACCAAACTCTTTTGCTGTCTGTACATTGTAAAGCTTCATGGGTTTTTGTTACGCCCATTTGGCCGTAGAGAGGTAATTATGGAGTATTAAATACTACTAAAGCTCCTGAAAGGTAATAAATTCAAACCAGTTTATGAGATCGATCGCTTATTGGAAATATTTACGGTCTTATTGGATGAGGCGAATGGGAAATTCTTAGTGGATGTTAGAGAATATAGGTACTGGATATGAGACGCTATAAAGAAGTGCGCTAAACAAACTTTAACTACGTCTTTTAATTGTGATATTGTGATTAAATACTTTTATATGTTTTTATTGTTTTCCTACAATCTCTTCTATTGTACGTACTAGCAGTAGCTACGAAACAAAATACATACTGACTATGTAGCATGGCCATAGGCTCGCCCCCTATTACATGGGACTCATAACATAAATAGTGAAAAGTGGGTGTTACATTGTACAGTGGCATAATGTCTCTGCCTACCACTTCGAGGATAAAAGGCGTGATGTTATGTTATGCTACATATTGATGATGGTAAATTTATGATCATCGTAGTCTCCGCCTGCATCACAGTTGCATTCTTATTCACGCAAGACACTATTGAATTAGGTACGTTATCTATTGGAAATTAAAATGACAGCACAAACAAAATTGATTGGGTTTCAAACACTCACGTACTAGACGCATTGCAACAACATTATCAGTACCTAGGTATTTGATGCTGGTATTCTGTGAGTACAGTTCAGAGAAGCTAGTAGCTTGTCAAGCTAGTTCATTCAAGTTCTATATTTACCACCATGAAGCTGAAATATCTTAAATGTACTAAAACTTGCCTTTTAATCCCTCAAGTTGCTGCGGAGGACTTAACTGGTTGCCGGGGCTCCGGCTCGAAGGGCAAGAGTAGGAACAGGGTGGTTTTTAGACATTCATTCGATGATTTTTCCCCATAAAAAAATTTCTCGAGTTATGAAGTATTTTAACGTCCTTGTTTAAGTTATGGTCAAGACGTTTTGCTTCTTTAGTAGCAGTAAAGGATTTCGTAGCTTGAATAACTATTGTAAAATCTGGCAATATCCGAACTTGAGACGACACAAATAGCTATCATTTAGGACTAGATAACGGAAGAAATATTTAGTAATGAAAGCAGGAAACGAGTTAAATTTCAGCTACGAAAATTTTAAGTCATCGGTTAAAAATATTTCTACCTAGGTACTAAATTCAATACATTATATCCACAAAATATGGTTCAGATATCAATTTTATACGATAATAGATCTACTTCGCAAGCTACCATCAACCACAAATTTTCAATGACAAAAGCGTCTTTGCACATATTTTTACTCAGTAAAATAATCTACTACATTGGTAGTATAATTTCATAGTATTATCGTAGCATTCTATTAACTTTCTTATTAGAACATCAATGCATAATTTTTATTTTATTTTTAGTTAAATCCTCATTAGTAGCTATATATTGTATATATTTAAGTGTAGGAGAGCCATGCTTCGGCACGAATGGGCCGGCTCGACCGGAGTGATACCACGGCCTCCCAGAAAACCGATGTGAAACAACGGTTGCGTTGTAATGTGTTTCGTCGTGTGCATTAGCTTACAGGAGACATATTTGCCCCCTCCCTAATCTCTTCAATCCCTGAATCCCCAATAACCCTCAAACACCTACTGCCGGTAATGCATTTGTAACACCTCTGGTGTTTCGGGTGTCCATGTGCGGCGCCGATTGCTTACCATCAGCTGGTGATCCTTCTGCTCGTTCACCGGCGTATCCATAAAAAAGATAATATATATACAATATAGTAGCTACTAATTAACAATTTTGACTTAAGGATAATTTCGCGTAGCCCGCTACGAGAAAAATTTAATAGGATAACATCTTACTGAATTACTTCTACATATCCCATTATTTATATACTTGAAACACAGTATATATATGTATCTAATAGTTTTGCTCCTTATAAACGTGCCACTGTAAATTAAAACTATGGCAATCTACCCAGTATAAGTGCTACGGTGGTTCGTAGAGTTCGTAGCGGGCTACGCGACTACGCGCTACGCTGCTACAAGCATTATTTGTTTTTGCAAATTAAATTGATTTGTTGCAATTTATTGTTATTTTTGGTAACTAGTAGGTATTATACGTAGACTGGTATCCAATGGGTTGTGGATTACGAAATGTATAGAATATTTAGTTATGAGTATTTAGATGGATTTCCGAAATCTTTTGTTATTTTTCAGTATATAAAGCCTAGTTCATTTTATTGACACGTGCAGAGGCAGCAAGAAAAATAAAGTTGCTAATGTGAATGTCATATGAGCCAATTAAAGGACTACGCATTTAAGAGAGACTGGGAAACAGAACCCTCTGAATAAACTTAAACCATTTTCATTCGATTTGCATCCGGACCAGCTAAGCGTAGAGAATATGAAAAACACTCTTATGTGGAGGAAGCTGATAGGTTGGTAGACTATAGGTGGGTTGTCGCGGAGAACCTAACGGGTAACCGTGGCTCCGCAGCTCCGGCTCGACGTGCAGTAGAAGGAGCGGGGTGGTTTTTAATCAGTAAGAGTCTGACACTCCCTCCCGCCTCACCCAGGCGGGAGCAGTCATTCGATGATTTTCCCCCCTTAAAAAAGAGTGTATTGGGGTTGAAGAGAAGGTTGACTTTTTAAATACCAAATGATAAGAATTCTAGTGTTTGAAAGTGTTTTGAACCCACTTGTAACCGCTGAATGATGGTAGTTGATCTAGCAATCGTATGAAAAAGCCACTCTATTAAAAGCCTTCCTGGACGTCCTCCATGATTATAATGTTCTTATAGTTTATCTACTTACTGTTAAAGTAAGTTTGATTACTATCTTGAGATGAGTTAAGCAATGATGCAGCTAACAACGAAGCACGTCTTTCCACGAGCAACTTCACTCGGGACTTAAGGATTGAGTTAGAATATGGTTTTCAAAAATTACCCCAGTGTTTCAAATAAGTGTTTCGGATAGATATTCTGATTGTTTTTAGAGTATAAGAAAGAGTGCGAAATAATAAAAATATTTTTTAGCTGACAGTACGAAGGAGTTTCCTATGGTGTTTGCTACCTTCTTAAGAGATCCTGGAGAAAATTTAAAGTACTTACCTAACTGTTTAACTCTCATACAATATTAAAATACAGTAGCTCAAGAGCTATCCTGTATTCTTTATTGTTTTTAAACATAGGTAACTGGAAAATTCGTAAAGCTTTGGCTAAATAGGGTACATCTTTTTCCTATTGATTGCTGTAAATATATTTTTATTTAAGTTCTCTCAACATTGACAACCCTGAAGCTAATAAACCATAATGTGTATTGCTTATGGATTGCTATAGATGAAAAACTATGGATCCCGAAGCATTCACTATCATAATATTTTTATATCTTTATTACTGTGACTCGATACAAAAACTTTAATATTACCAGTAATCTAGATCAGTTTATAAAATGACGTCGTCTAGGACGTGTCGGCATCTCAGACCCTAAATTGACCAATTACACGCAGTCACAAAAAATCGCTACACAGTGCCCGTTCCCGTCCTTTTTATCGATAAATATTTGTTTAAAGAGGTGAGTGCAATAAAAATGCGAGCGTGTCTCTGGGTAGGCCGCACTACCACAGCCATTCATTCGTTTGATGACTTCATTTGGACGCGCGAACTGAGTGCTTGCGATAATGCGCTATTGTTTACCCTTCGATAGTGCGCCTTCCACTGCACGCGCCACACTGCGCGAGAAAGAGATAGATATACTATCTGCAGCTCCGACGCCTCGACAAGCGTTCCGCTCCTAACCTTCCGTCACGTTCCCTCCTACGTTCACCGCGTACGCGCGAGCGTAACAGCAGCATCACTCGTAAAAACAGGTAGTAGAAGAAATAATAATCATCTTTACGACTTCTCACTCTATTCAGCACCTTGTTACGATACTGCGCGCTCATTGTGGCACGGTCGAGGAGTGGTTGTAAAATCTTTTCTTTACTCGCCCGTTTCACTAATTGTACGTTTATGAGTTTACGACTTTTGCGGCTTAACTTTTCAGTTATAGTCATTATTGGGGTTTTGTCGATGCCTTTTTTTATATACTGCTACGTGGGTTGGCTAGTCAACTTTTTACTTACAATGCACTACTGTTAATAGATGACACCTTTATGATTTATGATTTTCAGCTAATGTATACGGGTTGATGCGATTATTTACTTATAAACTTTGGTACCTAATGGAACTCTTACGTCCAATGTAGTTATTATAAACTTCTTAAAAGTAGGCTAGTCTTAAGAATCACAATAGGTATGCACCACGTGCTTCAGGAGGAGTGATAAGAAAGGGAAAAGAGAGCGTAACTGATAATATTTATAGTCATTAGCGAAAAGGGGACGGAACAATCGTCGGTGTTGCGATCGCAGGCAGCGCGCGGGGCGGCGCGCGTGGCTCGCTCTCAGTAGATTGCGTGAGCCGAGCCGCGCCGGTCGCACACGGCACATAGTCGCGCGCTCCCGCCACACGCGACCAACAAACTTCGCTCGCGACACACGCGTCTGCGACTCACACATCGCGAACTGAAAATTTTAAGAAAAAAAATCTCAACACCCGCTACTTGTGCGAGCACTGTGAGACGACTCGGCGCCGCATACAACCGCTTAAAAAGTCGTAAAACCCGCGGCACGCGCTCCCAAGTCGTAAAATAATCGTAAAAAGTAAACACACGTCAACTGGCCTTTATCGCCAACGAAGCCCATTATGACGCTCGAGTGACGTTTAAGAGGCAATAAAATTAATAAAATTAAATTACATTGTCCGTATTTGGAGTGACATTGGCGGAGGTCGCGTTATCACGGCGCGTGGGGCCGCGATGACATAAGTGTTCCCTAACTGAGTGACGTTAGTGTCGGTGACTGATCAGAATGAACTCCTATTTCGAGCAGGGTGGTTTTTACGGGGCGCACGGAGTGCACCAGGGTGGTGGCGGTGGTGACCAGTATCGTGGGTTCCCACTAGGCCTGACATATGCCCAACCACATGCCCTACATCAGCCCAGACCCCAGGACTCGCCGTATGATGCATCTGTGGCAGCTGCCTGCAAACTATACGCAGGCGAGCAACAATATGCAAAGGCAGACTGTTCCAAGCCAGGAGGAGAACAACAGAATGGCTATGGAGGCAAAGAGGCATGGGGCTCAGGACTAGGTGCACTAGTAAGGCCAGCGGCCTGCACCCCAGAGGCACGGTACAGTGAGTCCTCCAGTCCAGGAAGAGCACTTCCCTGGGGCCAACAATGCGCACTACCCGGCGCCGCCACTGCAACAGCACAGCCCGTACAACACCAGCCCACCAATCACACCTTCTACCCTTGGATGGCCATAGCAGGTTAGTTACATATTAATTAAGAATATTTTGTCTTAAAACAGAAATAGAAATAACTTACACAGTCATTAATTTACTAAAAACATATACTACTTAAACAAGAATTTAATTGCTCAATAATATGTTGTAATAAAAATTTTAAACATTCAAACACTGATAGTCAAAAATTAAAAGCTCTAAAATGCTGCTACACGATTAGAGTTGTGACCCAAAATCGGGAATTTCCCATTCAAGTCTCGTAGGAAACCAATAAGAATATCGGTAGCAGGTAGAGCCGACAACTCGACTCAAGTGTCAATAAAACGCACATAAAACGAACGACCCTCGTTAGCACCTTATTAGTCAAGACAGATTTGAGTGCCATTCATAACTTTATTGTTGCCATCAACTCTAAGAATCTTCATTAAAATACTAATTTGTGACAATAAAAAATAAATAAATGTAGCCATAGAGTTTATTTGAGCCGAGTTTTATGGGTGGTTTTATATTATTTACTGCCTTGTATTTCAATTATTTGATAGATATTGTAGTTTAATGTGCCATTTTATTACGTTTATATGATATAAATTGTGAAAACATACGTTATGTTACTATTAGTGTTATAGAAGTAATAAAAATACTTTAAAGTTTTTAAAACAAAAATCACTTAGTATGAGTAATTCGCACATAATAAATTACTTATGTGTTTTTTGATTCAGATTCTTAGACTTTGACTAGTTGAATTAAATAACTAGTTTTTTATGGCTCAATAACTGTAATAATGCCAAATTGAAGTATTTCGGTATTTATAAAATGCTCAAACAAAATTACATATTACTCAGTTATGGGCGATTGAATTGTATATTAATATCCATAGCCCACTGCAACACCCTTGAATTATCGTATCTGTACTTATTAAAAAAGCACCATACCGAGGGTTGATTTTTGTTGTAATTTATATTTTAAACAATATTACATACAAAACTAAAATTTATTTCGAAATGTTTTTTTACTAAGAAGAATAAATTAAGTAACCATTTTCGACCGCTAAATATATTTTTTTAATATTTTAAAATAGTGTTACTATCTGTGACTATTTTTTATGATAATGAAAAAAATGTAAATGATTTAGTATACTGCCTTAGCGTCTTAGAAGAACGTCTTCAGTAGCATTTTAGCGGTCCAAATTATGGCGGGAGCACACGGCGCGCCCGCGCCGAGCGGTCGGGTCAATGGCCCGATCTAGTTTGGGCGCATTATTATTAACTTGAGGAGTGCCACTGACCATTCGACAAATGACCACTCGATTATGCGTCCGATTCCTTAGATGAAAGCATAAAACTAGATAATTAGTAGTGACTAATGTTCCGCCGACGAAAACTTAAGAGTTGTGGAGACGACGACGCGAATAATAAAATTTACGCACTCGTATAAATTTATTACAACCAATAACTACCACTGAATTAAATTCTACTTGAAACTTATTGGATATTTTTTTTTGTAAAATCTAATTGGTCACGTGATTTCAAATGGAGACGTTCCATTTGTACCTAAATTCTAGTTGGAATGTTTCATTTCATAACTGGTTGGAATAAAACTACATTCAAATTGTGTATTTGATTTTAGTCTTGAAATCAATCATGGCCGCAGCATGAGGGACTCACCTGTACATTACTAACGCGTAATTAACGCAACGCGTGTGGTCCCGCCTCTCATAACTCATGCGACTTGATAAAATTAAGTAACACGGGCTAAAAAAATAAAACAAAAATAAGTAGTCGAACTGTCGGCCATATTTCACTCGGTGTTCACGCTACACGGCCCGCGAAACAATACAAGGACGCTTGTTGGACGTGGGCTGTATGAAAAGTTCGGGCTTGTCCGGCCTGTCCGCTGTCCGCTGCGAACACGATCTGCCGACCTGTGTTCGCTTTCGTGAAAAAATGTCACGTGTCTATGATGTGAATGTCCTGCAAAAGAAAAAAAAATATTTTCATTATTTTCTATTATACCATACATCTTATAACATTATTCCTTTGTCACAATTTATAATGATGATATTAATATAGATATAACAATGTAACATTTTTTTATATTTTCGGAATAGTGCCAGATATTTTTCAATACCTTATTTCTACTTAATATCTAACCTAACTATAAGTAACCAAGTCGTTGACTAAATCTAGTACATAATGAATAGGTTTTTACACTAACAAGCAATTATTTGAGAAATATCAAAGTGGTACAGAAGTATTAATCAAATTGGAATGTAAACAAATATTAAAATGCTAAATGTCAGTTTCCACAATTACTCAGCTCCAGTAAATGCTTGTCATTCTTAACGTTTAAGTAATAAAAGTGGATACAAATAATGTATTATTAAAAAGTAATTGATCATCTAGGTAAAGAAATAGATTATACTAATGGCTAACTTTGATTAATTACGAGTAATTACAATCTAGTATTAAAATCAAACATAAAGCTACTTCTAAAGTATTCCGTACCGAGAAAATTTAATCATGAAGATTTTATAATTGTTACAATATTCAACCCAAAGATAAAGTAAATAAAATATAAATTCAAATGATTGCTCTATTAATACCAAAAAGTTTTCAATAAATACACTCCCATACATTTATCGAGCGCATTATATGGTCGAATTTGTTCACATTCTTTTTCAACTTATTTGTCAGTACATTCAAATTTAAACTCAACCTAACCTCACCAAGAGTCGAACCTATAATTTCTAAACAAGTTTCCAAATTGGCAACTGCTCCTTGCCGAGGGCACGGAATGATTTTAAATGTACCTTTATTAAAGGGAAATGAGGTATTGTAATCACAAGTTTCATACTTGCAAAGTATTCTGTAGTTACACGCTTCATTTCAACTTCAAACTTGTTTGTATATTAATTTAAACGATATCTTTCCAATAAACACTTTATGAAGTAAAATTTTCGATATTTGTATATTTTAATTTAAAACATCTTATCCTTTCTATTCTTTTGCTATAATGATTCGATATTTGTAAAGTAAAACATTGAATGTCAATAACATGAGTAATTATTCAAAACAATGGCGAATATTAAAATATTCTTAGAAAAGTCGATAAAATTAATTGGAATTCGATGCACAAATGGTACATAACTACATAATAATTATACAATAAGTTGCCATCGTATTCGTAGTGTTGTGAACTCGTGAGTGCGCATTCGATCAGTGATACGCCACGAATGTGGCTCTACTTCGCACGACAGAAATATTTTTATTAAGTCACAAATATTACAGGTTTTGTATTTGTCTTAAGTTTTATGTACATATTTATTTATGTAATAGTTATATTGTAGTTCTATAAAATAAAATGTTTGCTTGAATTGTTTCTTAATTTAAAATAATTAACATTTCTTATAATAATTTATTGAATCTTTGAATAAATAATTCATCTTTATAAAATAAAAAATATAGCACCTAACTTAAGTTCTACAAATTTAAATCAAGCAACTTCGTCTCTTTGTTTCCAATAAATGTAGAATACAACGGAACACAAAAACTAGTATGATAATAGAGTCACTTAAAAACGGATAACAGGCACCTACTCAATAGAAGCATTCTGTAATGGTACCCCACATTGGGCAACCCAGACCGCTATACAGTCAAAACAAACACCAATACACAGAAAAATAACAGCATAATAGGCCCCGTAACAGTCGCAAGCCATAAACTAATAATGGGGGAGATTATGTTTTATGGGTTTCAAGTTTTGAATACGTTAAAACTGTTTTTTGTTAATTTAGTGCAACGTATACCGTCCGCGAGACAGCACGTATTTTGCGCTGAACTCATTTTATATAAGAATAAAGTGTTCTAATTTCATATGTGCCGGGAGATTGACGGGTCCGTTATAGGAGGAGGTGTGCATGCGCTTGTTTCCCGCCTGTTCGCGCGGCGCGCCCGCCGCCATCTTGGATGAGATCGATCATAGGTGCGCAGCTGTGAAGTGATAAATATGAATCCCAACTGCTCCGTGGTGTGGACTTTCTTTTTGTGGAATCGTTGAAACTCACGAACATCTTCTCAGAAGCCCTGTGAGACAAAATTAGACGAATTAATCATTGTGAAGCTTAGTTTATAAATGAACGTCTAAATGTGAATCGAAAACATCGTGTTATTTATGTAAACTTTTTGTATTATGACTAGATATTTTTAAGTCGGAAGGTAAAAAACAAATTATCTCTTGTAAAATAGTTTTTTAACTAATTTTATTGCTATGATTGAGCTACAGGAAACGCTGCCAAACGTTGATCATGCTTATTTCGTTCTCTACCTCACGTAATTGATGTGGTAAAAAACCAGCGGCCTATAAGCGGAGGCAATCAACAAAATACGTAGTACCCGGTGTTTCCATTGCCGAATACGTGGCCCTACATAATGTCGGCCAAGCTTGTTGAACACTACGTAGGCACCAAAAAGTGGTTAGAGGTAGTTTGTGAAGTATCCCTAGTCTGTACGCTAGTGTTCATAAACGGCGTGACCCGACGTACGTTATTATGCATTACATTGAAAATCACGGGCCTGGCATCCTATAGTTGCCGTTTTGTACCGCAATCTTTACAATTGCTCTAATACTTAGACATTTACTCCGCTTTTTCACAACACCTCTTTGTGTACTGAAACTTCTTAGATTTTATGTTAGTTTTACAGCCGAGTGATAAAACTCTAGCTTTGTTTAATATTAATAAGTATGAGAACGATGTGCTTATATTTTAATCAGTTTAAAATTCTCTGTAATTGTAAGCGGTAATCGTATTTTTAATTTTTATCGAGGGAGATAATCTTTTGAAGTAGGAAGTAATGAAACAGGTTTGAAAAATGTTATAATTTACTGCGTATTATTTCGGTTGTTCTTTTGTTTTGGAGCGAAGGCTTGTTAGGGTGCTCGGAACTTTTTTCCGACGTCAAATTGTCATATAATGCCAACATGAGTTTTGAGCGTACATGTGTAATTTATTTTCTTTGCTCGTAGTATGTAA